AAATTCAGATAACAACTCAAGTACTGCCTAAAAAATGGGTTCATATTTTATTTTTTTTCAAAGAAAATTTTCGGAAATAGTTTGCCAAATAAGTTTTCCTTAGGTGCATCGTATAATAATAAAGTTCTTTCCCTTCATACGACCACACCGGATGGGAAGGCCAACGAAATGTGTCAGCCCCGTATTTTTGGGTCATTTTCTATTGTTTCTGTTCTCTAAATGAAAAAGAAATGCCTCCTGTAGGAGAGGGTTCAAGAAAAAGAGTTGGAAAATTCGAAGATCTTCGAAGATCCTTGAAGAACAACTTCGAATTCTCTAGAATATGATGAGAGGCTTAGATTCTTCAATAATCTCAACTTAGGAACACAACAACAAAGGAGATGATGGAGATAAGAGATTGGGTGAAGAAGAAGGCAAAATGGCTAGAGAATAGAATAATGGCAAGGCTCTCCCATTGATCTCCCACTTTCACTCTCAAGGTTGATAATGGAGAAGGGAAATTAGTTCTTTCCCAAAAGATAAAAACTCTCCAAAATCCATCCCTTGTAAAGCTATGGGTGGGTGCTATTTATAGGCACCTCATGATGTAGGATGGAGCCCATGTGCAAGGCACATGGGGGATATTCTCTCTAACCAAAAACAAAGGAGATGATGGAGATAAGAGATTGGGTAAAGAAGAAGGCAAAATGGCTAGAGAATAGAATAATAGCAAGGCTCTCCCATGGATCTCCCACTTTCACTCTCAAGGTCGATAATGGAGAAGGGAAATTAGTTCTTTCCCAAGAGTTAAAAATCTCCAAAACATCCCTTGTAAAAAAAAAAGAAAAAGAAAAAGAAAATGTAACCAATGAGAGAGAGAGGGGGTCAAAGGGGGTGGGAGAAAAAGGGGGATGAATCATTATTGATATATACATATATATATATATGGAATATATGAGGGTATATTCAAGGGAATCTGCTTATCCTTTACCAACTTATAAAATTTCAAATGCACAGATTCAAAGCCCATTTTCCCTTTCTCCAAGGCAAATTCTGGAAGCCCACTTTTCCATCAAAATTTCAAATGCACAGATTCAAAGCCCATTTTCCCTTTCTCCAAGGCAAATTCTAGAAGCCCACTTTTCCATCTCTAAAACCTTGATGGCCCATTATAAATACGTATATATTTATACCTTTTGTCAAACCCTATTCTTAGCCTTCTCTCTCTAAAAGAGAGACCAACGTAGGCTACCATTCTTTTTTTCTCAACAAATCAGAGGCCAATGTTGTGCTCTCCCTCTTCAACAAACCAGAGGCTCAAACCTACGTTGAAGACCACTGCCATTTGCATGATCTTCCAATTTTCTTTTGATTTCAAGTTCTGAAACCGTGCTTTCTTCACCGAATTTTTTTTGTTTTTTGACTTACTTGACCGAGACTAACCCAGCCTTTTTCTTCTTCAACAAAACAGAGACTACCACAATGTTCATGCTGGCCATCGTAGCTTCAAGCAACGCCACCGACTTGCCCCAGCTCTAACCATCGCGGATGTCACAACCCAGATCCAGACACTCCGGAGCTCGCTGACCAGCACCAACGCTGACTCCTCAGCGATGTCACTGCCGCTTCTGGCCTTCGACTGCCGAGCTCGACCACTGTTGACCTCTCTGCTGCAACTTCGCCATCGATCCCGATGTCATCATTTTCCGACCTCGCCAAAACAGCGTCGCTGCTGGTTTGGCTGCACATCGTTCGCGTCGCGGCCCTGCCTTGCTTCCACAGTGCTTACTCTACCCATTTCTTTTGTTTCTTCTACACTACTTCAGATCTGTAAACTAATTTCAGCCGAAACCCTCTTCTCCTTCCTATATTTTTGAATCTGTGGGTAAGCTTTTATGAAGACTCATTTCTGTACTTCACAAAACACATTTATGAACTTCTTGCAATGGATCTTCAAATGCTAATCTTCTTTTGTGAGTCTGGAGTTTCTGATTGTTGCTCATTTATTTATTTTTTTCTTTGAGAAAGAGAATAAGACTCTGTTAAACCCATATTAATTGCTTGGCCATGGAGAGAAAAGAAATGCTCTGATATTGAATTTTGCTAATCTTTGTTTTACAGAGGTAGCTGAATCACCGACTTTGAACATAAATATCTGTTGATAATGCTTGATAAAATACATTTTGAATCCTCACTTGGGATCTGAACTATACTGATGTTGAGACTTGTTAAATCCGAGAATGATGAAATTTTACTGCTCACTGCTCGTTGGTGCAACTCCGAGCGCCGTCATCATCGCCGAAGACCCACACCACTTTTGAGGATAAAGACAAACAACCTTTTTCTTTCTCTTCTGGGTATGCTTTTCTCTCTTTGAAGTATTAACGAATCAACTCTTATTCTTTTTCAGGTTGCCCACTGTCGCGGATCCGATTGTTGCCGATGCCACTATCCGAGCTACTGTTAGCACATTCTGACACTAGCTCTACTCCACCTTTCTCTGCTACAACTTTGCCTTCATCTTTGGTTGCCCAGTGCTTTGCCTTCGTCTTCGGCTGTTCAACGCGAACCACACGTCGCCCATTCAACGCGATGTGTGGTTTTGCCTAACACCATTCGGCTGTTCAACGCGAACCACACGTCGCCCACTCAACGCGATGTGTGGTTTTGCCTAACACCATCCAGCTCGTTAGTCTCACAGTCTGGCGCTATTGTTTCGGAGTTTGAATCTCGGTTTTTGCATACTCACTGGATTCGGCCGTGATTAATCAACGTGGACCACGTCGCCCTTTCAACGCGTCGTTGGTCCGTCTAGCACCTTTCCCCCTTACTGTTTGTCGAAGCTACACTTACTGCTGCCGCCCTGTCTTGGCTGCCCCCTGGCGCTGGCTCTACCGATCTCGGCCTTAGTTTTTTCCGACGCTGCTCTCTGCTGCAAGTTGGCCACCGGCTTCAACTATTCCAGCACCGACCACACGTTGCCCACTCAACGCGACGTGTATGGTCGCCACCTTCTTTCCGACACCATTGCTGCCTCCGGCCTCAACTTGTCCAACGCCGACCATGCACGTTCGCCCATTCAACGCAACGTGCGTGGTCTTGCCCAGCCTAGCTCAGTCCTGTTGATTACAGTCTATAAAACCTCTCTAATTTCAACTTGAATTTCCAACATCGGCTTCGGACTTCACCCCTCCAACAGTCCCAAATTTGTGAGTATGAAATTCGGCTCCCTCTTCCTCTCGTTGAATAATAAAGATGATATATTGTTGTTTGTTTAACTTGTGGATGCTTGGGAAATACATAGCTGATGCCAAAATTTTGTGTGACCGTTGTAGCTTTACGTCAGCTTGGGAGGAACCGGCCTGGAGAGACAAAAACTTGATTGTTACATTTTCATAAACTTGCTTAGAGTAATAAAATTGTTGTAACTTAAATAGATAATTATTATTTGTTGATGTTGCCCCATTCTGATAATGCCTGAATCATGATCTGAAATTGATATTGTTTGTCTCAGTTGTCGGCTTTGCTATTTCAGGCAAATGAATTCTTGATTGAAATCCACGACCTCGGGGCCCTTGGAACCCGAACTAATGAGAGCAAGGGCTGTTCCTCGGAAGTCCGAACAGAAGCAAGACTGTCCCTCGGGAGTCCGAAGGTAGCACACACCCTACTTTGGCAAGAAAGATTCCTTTGGAAGATAACCGAGTCTACCAAGCTTGCACCAACAGAAATAAAGATTGTCTCCCAGAAGTCCGAGCAGAAGCAAGGCTGTCCCTCTGAGGTTCGAGCAGAAACAAGGCTCTCCCTCAGAAGTCCGAGCAGAAACAAGGCTGTCCCTCGGAAGTCCGAGCGGATGTGCACTTCTACTTTGGCAGCTAATGGAAGCATAGGCTATCCCTCGAAGCTCGCACTGGCGGAAGCGAGATCTGTTCTCCAAAAGTCTGAGGCGGAGAACACACTCTACTTTAGCAAGAAAGATCCTTGAGGCTCGCATTGATGGAAGCAAGGTCTGTTCTTCGAAAGTTTGAGTGGGAGCACACACTCTACTTCAACAAGAAAGATCCTCGAAGCTCATGTTGATGAAAACAAGATTTGCTCTTCGAAAGTCAGAGTGGGAGCACACACTCTAGTCTGTTCTTCGAAAGTCTGAGTGGGAGCACACACTCTACTTCAGAAAGAAAGATCCTTGAGGCTCGCACTGATGGAAGTGAGGGCTGCTCTTCGGAAGTCCGAGTGGGAACACACACTCTGCTTCAATAAGAAAGACCCTCAAAGCTTACATTGATGGAAGCAATAGCTGCTCTTCGGAGGTCTGAGTGGGAGTATACTTCTACTATTCCTTTTTCTTCTTTGAGGGGCAACAAAAATTGAAAACTGTTTCAAGCAACATAACACAATGAAGATATACAATGTAGAGAAAATAACTTTTAATGGAGATACACAATATGGAGGAAGTAAATTTCTTCATAACATAAGAAAGATAGAACTTTATGGACAATGCAGTAAATGCAAACTGTAAATGTCATAGGTAGACTTCTTTCACGGAATGTTGAAATTTGCCCCTAGAGTTGCAAGATCATTTGGAAAGCTTTCACCAGCTGCTCGGGTTGTGGCCATCATGCACCATCATAGCTATGTCTTTGGATCTTTCTGTACAGACTGATATCCACATCCCCGCAAGACTTTTCATGGATCTGTTGTAGTCGGAAACTTGCTTTTTGTTGGCCAACACACCGGGCTTGGAATCCAGTACCTCCTCGGAAGTAAAGTTCACCTTGAATAATTATGAATTGGGCAAGCTTGGCCATAGTCAATTTTCCAACTTTGCTTCTGAGTTGTTCGAGGACTTCTCCTCTCCAGTCCTCCGGAAGGCCTTTGTCTTCGGGTATTATTGAAGGTTCTGTTCTCTTCTTGATAATAATTATCGCCTCCTCCTCTGGGATATCAACTCCTGCCCCTAATGTAGCGAGAGCGTCTGAAAACTTGTTGTCGGAACGAGGCACATGCTCTATTTCGACCTTCTAAAATTTGTCAAGAAGCCTTCGGACTGTTGTTCGATATGTGGCCAAGGCAGGCTCCTTTAAGACGAACTGTCTTGAAACTTGCTTCACTATCAACTTTGAGTCCCCCCGAATCCGAATCTTCTTGATACTGTGCTTCTCAGCTGCTATCAAGCCTAACATAAGAGCCTCATACTCGGCTTCATTATTCGAACAATAGAAATCCAGTTTATAAGACAAATAACTTTTTCCCACTTTTACTTGTAAGGACTATCCCGGTTCCTCCTTTACCTCCGGCTGCTGCTCCGTCAAAGCTCAATGTCCAAAAGCTTTTCTCGGAAGCCATAGCTGCATGCACCTCTCCTCTTACTTCTTCATTTACTAGTTCATAGTCACCACTTGGAATTTGAGCAAGGAGGTCAGCTAAGGCCTGGCTTTTAATCGCCTTGGGGGCTACACATGTGATCTCGAATTCACCCAGTGCTAACAACCATCTTGCCACCTTCCCGGTTAGAGCAGGCTTGCTGAGGAGGTATCGGATTGGATCACTTCTAGTAACAATCTGAATCTGATGTGCTAAGAAGTAATGTCTGAGCTTTTGGGCGGTAAATACCCAAGCTAAGCAATGTCTCTCTATCGGAGTATATTGGACTTCTGCTCCTCGAATCTTCTGGCCGATGTAATACACCGGGCGTTCTGCTCCATCTACATCTTGGACCAATAATGCCCCTATGGACTTGGGGGTTGAAATTAAGTACAACAGTAGAGGTATCCCGGGCTGCAGGGCTATCATGGTCTGAGGCGAGGTCAAGGACGCCTTGATTCTCTCAAAGGCCTTTTGGTGCTCTTGGTTCCACTCGAACTTGGCATCTCCTTTTAACAAAGAGCCGAAAGGCGCAAAGA